GCGTGCAGAAGGCAATGCCGCACGGAGCTAGCTAGGCGACGACGCGTAGAGGGCAGGGTGGGTGCGCGGGCGCGGCGACGCAAAGGATGGGTGGGGGTGGAGGCGGCGGCGTGTAGGGGGTGGGGTGGAGCACGGCGACGACGCAGAGGACTGGTGGGGGCGGCGGCAGCTGCGCTTAGACGACACACGTATTTCGGAACTAAGCGAGGCGTATCATTATCGTATTTAAAACACTAGGCAATCGTAGTGTGACAACATTGGAGTTAAGTATTTGTCTGCCAATCCCGTATTTCATGCATGTATTAAACATATAGAGGTCGATTATCACTTTTGTTCGTGAACGGGCCAACGAGGTTATGAGAAAGCTTCTTCATATTGAGCATGTGTCTCAGTGGTGAATCTAAAAAATAGAGTTATCGGGGTCATCATTAGAGAAAGATGGTGTAATATGATGTTTTGTTAGGGTCGTCATGAATTAATTAAAACCTTAATCTAACAAAAACCGCCGGGGTCGGCAGACCCCGGTAACATATGTTCGCCCCTGATGTGTCTTCCAAGGATCAGGTTGCACATGGGTTTACTAAACCCCTTGTTGTTTGGCAACTGGAGATCGATGTTCAAGAATCAAGAGCAATGTAAACTTAAGAAGGTTAGATTGGGGGGTGGGGGGGGGGGGGGGGGGGTTAGATAATCAAGGTATTTGGTGTGGGTCCATCCTGTACTTGAGTAACAACAATGTTTTTGCTTGAGCTGATGGATGGTTGATCGATCTGTTGTAGTTTGATAGATAATTCAGAGTTTGTTGTAATCATGTAACAACCTCGCTCCATCGGCCAGATCTCTAGGTTGTCATCTCGCCTATGTAAAGTCACACGCTGGCCGGGGTTCTTCCACGTACAACACAAATTAACACCCAGCCATCGCACCGTGAACAAAGGGCGTTGTTAAACCACGCTATAGGGCCTCAATTTGATTTCTTTCAAAAAGTTTATATAGTATATATATGTGTCGGAATCTGAGACAGCACAAGTTGGGCACTGAAAGATCGAGCTTCAAAGAAGGCATGCGTCCTCATTGTGATCGATCTCCAGACGGTTCTACCATGCATGGCTTGACGGCTTCGATCATCAGAAACGCCAAATCAAACCTTCAGTTTGAAAAACTCAAGCCTTTGAATCGATGAAGTGCAAGTATATATACATATGCGCAATTATGCAGAGGTGGCGCTGCCCCGAAAATAGCTAGAGACGATGGATCGATACATCAAAGGTTTCGTTCTACTCTCCTAGATTACGTGATCAAGACATGAGAGATAATCTTTCGAAAGTCTACCTCAAGGTTCTGCATGCAAGAGAAATTGATGAGCTTCCATATCTACGCTAATCAAATGGAACGCTAGCACACTGCGGAAAAGTTGGCTCCCTATTACTAGTAGTAGCAAACGTTGACTGGTTGTGTGTATCCTTTCAATTGGTAAGTATTATTCATGCATGGTGCTGCATGCGTTGACCACATCTTGCATTTTCATTCACGTCGGAAGAACGGCATCAGATCAACGTGACTATTGTCATAATGTCAACAGTTCTTAATTAACTGTGTCTATTTCAGTTGCTGGTGTCAACTGTCATAATGTCTGAACGGCATCTACTGTTGTCACAATCTGGATTAATTTGCCGAGTCTCACAAGAACATATTATATACTTATATACATATATACATATATAAATCTATGTGTCCATGAGTCAGCAGCAAGAAGATCGAAAAGCAGCAATAGTCGTGATTGGTGAGAATAGTCCTCGTCATGGAAACGTACCTGATACCTCCGCAGAAATTAAGTTCCATGCGGCATGCCTACGACGTACACGTACGTATACGCAACTAACAAACAATCCTCATTCAGTAAGACAAGCGGCAGCAGTTGGTGGCGATCGGCCTATTCATTGGTATAACCTCACCTACCACTCGTGCAGAACTGCAGATGGCTACGTTAATTCCCAAGAAACGTGATAGAAAAAAAATCCGAAAACATCCTTAAAAACATAAACTTTCATTATCTTTGATAGTAATAGGCATTGGACGATCTAATTTGCTTCTAAGGATTGCCCACTTCTGCTTTATATTAAGTAAAAATAAAGTAACCAGTAAATCTGCACCTCAATTACGATCCGAATTTCGATGTAGAACACTATCTTAGATCCTTGGAACACAATGTTGTGTTTAAACCAGGCATCACTGTCAGAATCGGAGCCCATAGAGGGCAATCAACAGGCATAGAGCTTGCATATCACTGTCGGTTTTAGACCAGGTCTATCAAAACTTAGCAGTGATATTTCCCATACTGCTGCTAGGTGCCTGGGTCAAGCCACGAACCACGCCAGACTCCCTCTGTCCCTGAATAAATAGATTCCTAGAGTTGTCTTAAGTCAAACTTTTTAAATTTTGACTGAATTTTTAGAAAAAAAAACGTTAAGACTTATGGTATCGAATTAGCATCATTAGATTTACCATAGAATATATTTTCATAAGGTGCTAATTTTATGACATAAAGGTTGTTACTATTTTTTATAAAGTTTGTCAACACGGATTCTATGAATTGATTTATTTGGAGAAGGATGAAATATATCACTGTAGAGTTGTAGCCTGACCCAGCAGTGACACTCTCCATGACACTGCCGGCTCATGGCTATACCCGACAGTGCTACGCATGCTTTGAGGCACGAGCCAACAAGGATAATGGGTTTCACTTTTGGATTAATATATATAGGATCCCAATCATTGTTTGGATCCTAGGCTTTACGTCCTAACAGTGAAGCTGGATCACCAGCGACTCTAGTACACCTGGCAGTGATGGGGTGGCAAGGACTGTGAGTTCTGTAGTAGTGATCGCCCACTAGTTATAGCAATCAGCCAGGTCAGCAGCACCACCGTATGAGTTGATATCAATAACTGTGGCTGGTGGATCATCCGGTGTCAAGTTTGTCCAACTGCTAGCAACCCCTTCACCCTATATATAAGTATTACCATCTCATTTGAAGCTACTCTTCCACCCCGTTATTAGGGCGTCCCCAATAGCTTGCTATTTAGCTAGCTATTTTGACGTGGGCAGGAAAAAAGTAGAAGAGAGAGTAGTCACTAGCGACGAACAAATAGCGGATCTATTTTACGTAGTCCAAGAATATGAGAGAGGAACATGTGGGTCCAATGATACATAGAAAAATAATATAATCTTTGCTTTTATCTCTTACCTCCACATAAGCTAGCTACATAGCTAGCACCATTGCGCACGCCCTTACTACTACACACTTTATAGAGAGGATTGTGAACCAATCAGAGAGCCACCCATCATTTACTCCTTTAGTTATCATGCTAAGGATCTGTTTAGGCTGTTGACCCTAAGGACTAGCTAGTTTGTTTTTTTTAGAAAACTTAGGTGTCAAGATGCAAAGAGGGTTAGAATTTTTGCATAGGCTATAAGCATGTTGTTTTAAAAATTTAGTCCAATTCACTCCCTCTTCGATGATATGGTCCTCACACATGCATGGTTGGTTTTTGGTGGCTCCTTTGTAGTTGGTTCCATTTGTACAAGCGGCAAATGATGGTAGAAACCCACCATGGTAGAAATATGAAAAGTTTGTGTTTTTCATATTTATTCACATCCTAAAGTTAAATATTATGGGGGCCGGGTGCGGCAGTGATTGAATAATCACTTTTCCATTTCAATTCCCTAGAAACTTAGTTTATGTGTTGACAAATGTTCCCATATTTAGCTAACTTGTCTTTGTCCAAGAAGAAAGGAGGTAACAATTATATTATGTCATACTAATTTAGAAATATGGAAAAATAATATACTTTATCATGTCAGTTATTGAAATCCAATATATATTATGGGTGTTACATATGGCCTAAAACTAGCCCTTGATATTAAGGGCACGTTATTGTCTTGCACCCAGTGAATAATGTGGCTTGCAAACAAAGCAATCTCTTGCTCTCAAAGTCTTGTGTGCATACAATCTGCTGGATTGTGTCGTGGGCATTGAATCATCTGGTGTTATAAAGTGGTAGAGAGGCATTTGCAACAAGGGTGACCCCCAGCATTACAATCAGGAATATCCTTTGTGTTCAACAAAAACCCTAGTTTAGACTATATCTTAATTACATGCATTCAAAACAAATGATGGAAACAAGTTTGAATTATTGAGTATAGCATGCTCCAATTTGGAACTGGTTCCATTTGTACAAGAAGCGACCCTTTGTATCATGAGTAACATGTATATAATGTCCTTCTGATATGTTATCTTCCACTCCCATTAGTAACTCTGTGGGGAAAAATTCTGTGTCGTTGTACCCCATTAAAATCCAAGTTCCATTTGTTTTACTGAAAAAAAATAGCTATTCATCCTCCAGATTTTTTTTTTCAAACATGTGCGGAGCACGTTCACACACACACACACACACACACACACACACACACACAAAATCTCACTGTCCAGAGGAGCCTCCGCCACCTGTCTCAAAACCAAAAGTTCGCCCAGAGATGTAATCTAATCTAAGCACTTGTTGATAGAATATGTACAGGTAAACTTTCATGCATCAACCTAAACATTTTAAAACATATTAACACTGAAAAGTTCTGAAAGCCAGGAATCATTGATGTCGTCCATAGCAACAATGCATGCATGTTTGACGCCAGAACAACAACTATGGATACCTACCACAAGACGAGCATCTAAAAAGCCTATAGTAAAAAGAATATTCAAGAAAGGAGCTTGAAGCCATCGATACCACCAAATTCATCTCTAGGGTTGTGCGTGCGCGTTCTCTCTCTATCATATACCTACTCAGTCAAATGTCACGGGGCGATGATCCGTGTCAGTGGGCCCTCTTTCTCTCTCCTCCTCATATAAACTTCGTCCTGTCACTCTACTCTCACAACATAGTCACCACCAGACACCTGCAGTGTCGCGATCGAACACGTAGGAAGAAGATTCAGAGTTTGAGACATGGGGAGGTCGCCGTGCTGCGAGAAGGCGCACACGAACAAGGGCGCCTGGACCAAGGAGGAGGACCAGCGGCTCGTCGCCTACATCAAAGCCCACGGCGAAGGCTGCTGGCGGTCGCTCCCCAAGGCGGCGGGCCTGCTGCGCTGCGGCAAGAGCTGCCGCCTCCGGTGGATCAACTACCTCCGCCCAGACCTCAAGCGCGGCAACTTCACCGAGGAGGAAGACGAACTCATCATCAGGTTCCACGGGCTCCTCGGAAACAAGTACGTTTACATGAGTTACTGGTGTGATGATCACAGTAGATTATCAGACAGATTGTTGTTGAAGCAATTATCTGATGATGACATGTATATGTATATATTATGTTCTTGACTGTTCATTGTTACGGTGAAACAAATAAACAGGTGGTCTCTGATCGCCGGGCGGCTGCCGGGTCGAACGGACAACGAGATCAAGAACTACTGGAACACGCACATCAAGCGCAAGCTCATCGCCCGCGGCATCGACCCCAAGACGCACAGACCGCTCGGTGTCTCCACCTCCGCTGCCGCAGCAAGCAGCCATCGCCACGATCACCTGTCAGCGCGGTCCAGCTGCTCGCCGGAGACCAGTACTGGAGCCTGCCACAGCGTTAACGATGACAGCGCATCTGCTCCGAACGACGGTGGCATCGACCTCAACCTATCCATAGGCCCGCCGAGGCAACCGCCTTCACCGTCACAGTCTCCACTGCCGACGAGGCAAGAACAAGCAGAAGCAACAAGCGGAGAGATCTTAGGGCATGCGAACATCAGTAGTGACTACACCTAAAAAAAGAGTACAACCTCCTCATCACTCATCAGAGACGAAAAGGATATGCTTGTGCTTGAATCGCCTGGGTTTGCAGGGCGCTGAGAGATGCACCTGCGGCGATATGTAGTTATTAGCTTATCTTCTTCTTCTTCTTCTTCTTCCTTGCAGGCAGGGAGATCAAGGTCGACTCACCGGTCGTTTAGGGCACATGCATGATGCTGAAATCAGTGATTTCCGCAGAGCTCTATGATTTGATGATCGTGAACAAGTCGATCTCTGTTCCTGTCCCTTTAAACTTTGAAGATAAAACATATTTTTGCTGCTGGTTCATCTGGTGCATGTTCTTCACTAAAGTCTATATATGTTACTTTGATCTTTCCTACCCCTTCTGTTCTGATGCAAACTGATGATGCTCTGCTAGCCTGGTCTAGTCCTATCTGTAATAGTAGCCTTAGCTGGCTATCTTCTTTTCCATTGACGTCGAACTCTTTTGTCCATTACCGGAATCACAGACTCTTCTGTGGTAGTGTTTGGGAAAAGCAACAGAACTCCTACAAGTCCCATGTACAAACCAATAATTCACAACTAAATATTTGGGCTTATTTTTGCTAGTTTTTCCATGGATTGTACCTTTAATTTTAATGGTGGCTATATATACATCAGGTGTCTTACCTACCACATCACCAAATGCCCCGAGAAGAAAGAAAAATGTTCTTTTCTAGATGAAGAGGTAACGTATAATCATATGCAAGAGTTCTCAATGTTATATATGGAAACTATGTATACTATATAGAAAATCATGTTGAACATGAGTACATAGGTGTACATCCATGCATGTACACTACTTCTAGATTACCTTGTTTAGAAATGGTGGATTGCACAAAAAAAATGTTTCAGATGAGGATTTGGATCCTAATTCTCCCGGGCAAACAATTCATGCTGGTTGATGATTTATTGACTTTCCGTAATGAATAATTTAAGAGAAGGTGTTAGGCCTTCTATGATGGTGGTGTGGGAGATGAGCTAAACCTACATGTCTGAGCTACCAACCGCAAGGCTTCGCCAGCGATGGCGGATCGCAAGTGAGAGATAGGTGGAAGACACAGGGGAAGTTGGAGAGAAGGAAACCTATCCATTATTTGATTAACATGTCCTATACAATGCAATACCAGATATATCTAGAGTCCCTAAACAAACTAACTGGCCCACAAATTAGCAACTAACTTAATCTATATAGATTGGGAGTTTGGGACTAATAAGCCCGATGACGGGCCATTGAGGCGTGTGCATGACATGTGCGACGTGCATGGGCTGGCGCCTACACGCGAACCCAATGTGATGCTTCTTGACCCTTCCAATGCACCAGCACCTCCTGACCACCTCTTGCTAAGCATGCTTTGATCACGTTTCGAGGCTCAGCACATGCACGACCATGGTTGATAGCTAAGAGCTGCGGAATTTTGTTGCCAGTGGCTGATGGCTTCAACAACCTTACGTTGTACAGTCTTGCGCTTACTGGTAACTGAAGATGATAGGCCACATCTCCGATCCGTTCCAAAACTTTGAACGGGCCATATAACCTTGGCCCGAGTTTGCTTTGACCCCTGACATCCATAGACGACAAAGGGCGGTGCAAGGGGTGCAACCAAACGTCATCGCATACCTTGGCGCAAAACGGCAAGGGTTACTCTACTGCCATTTTATTTTGAATAAGAATTGGAATCTAGTACTTGTGTGCCCCTAAATGAATGGAAGAATACACATTCGTCGTCAAATTAATGTGCATTCATCTTCAAATTAAATAACGCAATGTGTATTACGCCATTCATTTAGAACAAGTGTATATATTTGAATGGAGTCTTATGTCAATAATAGGATGCAATAGTCTGAATTTGTGATGAGTTGTTAATTGTGTGAAGTGTAGATGAATATTCATTTGAGGCATCATGATCAAGGGTATGTCGTACCCACACTACTAGTGTTGTAATTGCTTCTGAAAAAGAACAAACAGGAATTCACCACATTTTACCTTTCACTTCGACTAATCCCAAACACAACCTAACACACAATGCTGCTCTAATATAACGAGTGATATAAAAATCCAAAATCCACTGTGGTGAAATGTCAGAGACCAATAGAACCGTCGTCCATAGCTTATCTCAAGCATATATATCTTATGTGAGATGGCTTTAGCATTGCTTTTGTGTTGTTTACCATGTGTATCACAAAACTCTATAATTTCGTTTCGTTTAGTAATGAAATTCGGTTACGGCCGTGGTAGAAAAAATCTCAAGCATATATATCTTACGTGAGATATCATATTGAATTATTTGCGTGCTTAAAAATCATATAGTGACCTGGCCTGCTGATGGTTAATTGGTTAAAATATCGGTTCAACAGGTACACACCTTTTTTGAGTTAGGTACAGTTGTGATGCCACGACAAAGATCTGCCTGAGCTGCTTTTCTTGTACGTGCCTGATGACAACAACCAACCCTATAGCTAGCTAGCTACCGATCTTCTAGAAAGGTTAGTGGCCTGATGACAACCAACCCTATAGCTATCTAGCTACCGATCTTCTTGTACGTGCTTTGATGTAACATGTAGTGAGATTCTTCGTCTTTCTATTGTGCTGTACATCAACTAAAGTACTGTTCATCATCTTAATTGTCTGCAGAAGAACTGAAGAAGTTTGCCTCATCATCTTTGATCTTGCGCCTTTGTTCATGATGTTTACCTGCTAGCACAACTGGATTCAGGTTCTTTGCCGAGTGCCTGAGGCACTCGGCAAAGGCCAAATTGCACTCGGCAAAGCCTTTGCCGAGTGCGGCACTCGCAAAGAACACACGGCAAAAAATTGATCGGCAAAGACCTCTTTGCCGAGTGTCTTTATCGGGCACTTTCGGCAAAAGCTTTGCGAAGTGCCCCGGGACACTCGGCAAAGAAAAGCTACAATCACTGCGCGGTCCCGTTGGCGGTCACTTTGCCGAGTGCCAACCCCCAGCACTCGGCAACGATTTTTTTTTTTTAAAAAATTCTTTTGCCGAGTGCCAACCTGCAGCACTCGGCAAAGATTTTTATTTTTTAAAAAAATTCTTTGCCGAGTGCCAACCCTTCGTGCACTCGGCAAATATTTTTTATTTTAAAAAAATTTCTTTGCGAGTGCCAACCCTGGACACTCGGCAAAGATTTTTTATTTTTATTTTTAAATTTTCTTTGCGAAAGTGCCAACCCTTGTGCACTCGGCAAATATTTTTTTTTATTTTTTTAAATTTCTTTGCCGAGTGCCCTCTTGCCGGCACTTTCGGCAAAGTTTGAATTTTTTAAAAAAAATTTAAATTTTAAAAAAATTATATGCATTTTTATGTCATATAAATCGTACTGTTGGGAGTAGCTTATGATCTACATTTTTAAAACCACAAACCTAACATGCTGCTCTAAACATACTAGAAACTTTTTACGCTCAGCGGCACCCTACCAATCAGATTGTGAACGCCCATAATTTTTTTGTCATCGTAAATGAATCCAGCTATAACAATCCTGGCAACATTCTTTTAAAAGATAAATTTCGGTATCATTATTCCTAAACATTTATATCAACTACTTTAAGCATTGAATCCCAAAGATTACTGGGAAATATTGATTATTTAGCTGGTGCTGGGTAAATTAACAAAACAAACAAACAAATTGACTACTGGAATGTATCTCCTCTTTGGCAACTAACCAAATAAATTGTATGTCCACAATACACTTGATAAATGTAAACAATTGGTGCAGATCCAATCATCCAATTGTTGTTAACTGGATGGATAGACAACCAGACGTGCAATAAATAAACACATACAGATCATATTAAAACAGACTTCATATGATAGACAACCAGCTCAGAATTTCTAGTCATGGCAATGTTTATGTCATCCATCCACTGGGCCTAACTTGAGGTACAAAATTATTGTTTTTGAAGTCGGACAAAGTGTAGACAATCATTTTGAGAAGTCTATAACTCCTCCTAATTGACTCAATCTAAAATATGAAATATGAGTATATAACTCTTTGGAAGCATAAGCAAATTAACTACAATTCTCTAATACATTGTATCACGATATTCAGAATGTAAGAGCCCAAATAATCGATCTTATCTATACTGTACAGTTTCTGCAGAGCCAACAAAACTTGTATATTAGCAAATAACCTGTTTCCAGTAGTGATTGCACGATCTACGTTTAGTTGCTTCTCTTGCACATTCTCTGTCTGGCACTACCCCAACACCTGCATCATAGTGCCTGACTAGTGATCAGACTGAGATCAATAGGTCATGTCTGTTTGATGCTCTGTAAAGTAACCAGCTGCTGTCGAGAAGTCTCATTGCCTGAAATCCTAAAAAATAAGAACAATCATAAATAATATGATGCTATAACAGGAACAGGTATGAGATTTACGAGGAATAAAATTATGAATTGACCAGTTCAAGGCTTGTCAGCAATCTGCATCTTGTTGGCCGAGTCACGGCAAAAGAAAATCACGCCCTAACCGGCAGGCATTGCTGATGAATTGACATAGTTAGGGTAGTAATCTGCTGGGTGCTTGAGGGTAAAACTAGAAACAATTTTTAATCAAGATTGACGAATAGCAGCAATAGAAATCGCAAGATCAGCTAGCAAATTGGTATAGGTCATAGATGCATGCAGCCCAGGTGTGCAGAGACTCGACACAGGCACCGAGGAATTTTCATCAAGATCTACTCAAAATAAGAATCAGTAAATCACTTGGAAGATAAAAAAGGTACGGATCATCTATAACACGAATTGGACCAGCAGAAGCTGCTCGTCTGCCCGAATATGCACTCGAGTCGTCGCACATTATATGGATTAAGCAAATCATATGTCAAGACCACCATGAACTAATTGTCATTGTTGTCTGCATTCATGGGACAATGCTAGAAGGAAAATCGAAATACGTATACAGTGAAGCAATAGTACTCACATATATAATATATTCTAAAGGAATAATCTGTGCTA